CTGTTTTCTTTGTTGACCTCTGTTTGAGAAAAGGTCAAGGGAGTACCCAGCTGTTCTGCTGCCTCCATTATTAATGCACACTGCTTTGGCTGAGAAGTCTGATGCTTGACAGTGTTCTACCATTCCTAGATTATCAGACAGCACCAGCTCTTCTGTGTGAAGTGTGGCAAACCCTTCAGATAAGACAAATCCCAATGAATACTGGAGTGTTTATTATTCTGAAGCAGTGCAGAGAGTTTGCTTTTCTCACTGGCAGAAGACACCCTCCAATGTTGGCTGCAAACCAAACAACAGTGAGTTAGGTACTGCCTAACAGTACATGTATAATGGAGTGGGTTTTAACAGAACGTGAGAGGGTGAGAAGCTGATTTTTGTTTTTAAGAGAAATACTTTGAGTTTTCTTCAGGAAACTTCAAAAAAGTCACTGTACATTTCAGATTTTTCTAAATATTTCCTAACTGTATCTGAGGCCAGAAATCCTTTTAAATGAGATACTGCTTCATGACTCTGGGCAGAATCAGTGCTTCTGGGTTTTGCTGCTTTCAGCTTCATAGTCATAAAATATTCATTGTCAGACATCATCCAAAACTTTGGAGGCTTCTTTGCTCCACACTTTTTGCTGGGGTGACTTTGTGGAAGGGCTGGATTAAAAATAGGAGGTTGGTTTCCTTCCACAAATATATGAGAACCTGTGGAATGAGCCCAGAATGGGGAACTGGGAGGTCTTGAACTCAAATGCCTCCTCTACTTCTCGTGGTGACCGTGAGTAAATTCATTAAATGTCATTAAAATGACAAGGTTTCTGTACTTCTTAGTGATGCTGTGAATTCTCAATATTTGAATCCTCTTTTGTAGAAAGAGCTTTGACAGGAACACATAGCAACAGATTTGCACATAAAAACTGAAGCTGAAATTACTATCTGGCTCTCCTGAACAGGCAGTATAGCCATACACAGTATGGAAAGATCCTGTCATTACCTCTCCTGGGATCCAGAGACTCAGCAAGCTCTGTGATTTCTGCAAGGATGAGAAGAGCTAGGAATTGGCTTAGCTGGTTGCTGGCCATGCTTCTGTTTCTGTTCTTACTATCAGCCTAAAGTATGTACTGATAGCTGATTTGAGGATCTGAGCAGGTATGGATATGAGATTTGTCAAACTGGCTTTGCTGTGGGGTGGTGGTGGTGGTAAGTGCTCAATGTACTTGCTGTGCCTGTTAGTGATTAGTCAGAAAAGGTTAACATTTTCCCACTTCTCAAAGTGCTGGATGGCTCCATTCATTCAAGGAAAAGGTCTGGGTTGGTCAGTTTGAAGATCTCAAGTTTTGCTGCTGCTCTGGTAATTTCTGTGAGGCTTTGAATATGTCAAGGACTTAAGTCTGAATGTGTAGTTTTGTGCAGCTCTCAGATCTCTTCAAATCCCAGCTGTTGCAGAGAATTTTGTTATGTGAATGTGTTAGAAAATAAACAATGGGTTTAGATTAATACTGTCAAGTGAAATGGCAGATATAATTGCCATAATAAGTTAACATGTGTTAACTTGCTTTCAAATTCTGATTTTTGTAAGTCTGTCTAGTATTAACTGCGTTAAAAATTAAATCTTGCAAATCATGCATAAATCAAGAGTTTGCAAACATATTCCAAATGCTGTTTTAAGTAAATGTTATTTTATGAAGTTACAGTGTTACACTTGAACAGTTAGATCACCAATTCAGGTTAGTATCACTTACTATATACAAGGTTTCACATCCCAACAAAGCCAGAATTTTCTCTGTTGCTTCATGTAGCATAAACCAGTGATTCTTGTTCACTTGTTTGGCCTTAAGTTTAGCTACTCTACGTTAACTGTGTTGCTACACCAAGGCTCCTTGGTACATTACCACCCTTTAAAGAATGTGGAAGCCATAAGTATCACAATGTAATTTGTGAAGCCTTCATAAATGTACAGCAGCAGGGGCCAGCTGACAATTAACAAGTATTTCAGAACTCTCTGGTCTTCTACATGTTCCAGGTTATGCCTGAAAGCATATGGAAATATTGTGAGAGCTGCAGCCTACTCAGGGCTTTTTCTCTTCGTGCAGAGAACCTGTATCCCTTTTTGCCCTCCGTGTTCTCTTGGAATTCTGGTAATGTGCTTTATGGTCATAGCCATCACATATGTCAGTGTCCTAACAGGCAGGACAGCATAAAAAGGCTGTGCTTGGTAAAAAGCCCTTAGTGAGACCTGACATAGGCTACTGTGTTGTAGCTTGGAGTAACACACAGTTAAGCTTTTTCAGGGACTGGAGCCTCATTTGTTCACTACAGTCTTTCATGAACCTGGCAAACCAGTCATCCACAAATTCACTGGTAACCTGTTCAGGGATTAGTGGTTGGGAGAATGCAGTTTTACAGAGTATGTAAACCTTGGGAGTTGTGCTTATGAGAAGTGAGGTGGACAGGCATGAATTTGGATTGGCCAGTGAACCCCAGAGAGATTTTAGTGTGTGGTGATCTGTCTTTTTGAATGTCTACCCAGAACAGCCACAAGAGGAAGAAAAAAAACCCCATAACAACATATGAAACAAAAATAGGTGTCATTCTTCCAAGAACAGGAAGGATACAAAAATGGATCATGTCCAGAGTTCTATCTGTGACAAGGGTCAGCAGCAGATGATGCAGTTGTATGTAGAAGTGGGTTGATACCACCTTCTATTAAAATTGGAACAAGTAAGAGTAATATCTCTCCGAGTTTTCTATGTTCTGTTTTGATGATTCTGCAACTGTTGCCTTAAATTACTGTCTAGATTTCTAATCTACTCTTTGCTTTCTCTTTTCTACTGAGTAGACCAGTGAGATTTCATCTAAGTGACTGAGAAAATGTAAATGAGTCCTATTAGTATGTCTTATACTGAGTGAACAGTCATCTCTCTGTGACCTGTTTGATTCCTGCCCTCAGGTGTCAGATAGTTGATGGAATTACTCACAGGTACATAGAGCATTTGTCCAACTTGATTGTAATATGTTCCCTTCCAGTGGATCAGGAGTGACTATGCAGGGTAATTATAATTGTGGAGAGGGTTGTTAAGTGCTTGGTTCTGACTTCCAAATCTGCAGTCAATATCACCCCTCTGTGCTCAGGCTGGTTGAACACTGACACAAGTACATGCTCTCGTTGGTGGTAGTTTAATTTATTCAGAATAGAATCACAAGTCCAAGTAATTTGTGAGGGACCTCCAGAGGCTGTGTAGTCCAACCACTAGCTCAGAGCAGGTGCAGTTAGAGCAGGCAGCTCAGGACTGTGCATAAGCAAGTTTTTCCTATTTCTAAGGACAGAGATTTCACAGTTTTTCTAGGCCATTCCTAGTGTTTGACCATCCTCAAGACAAAACATATTTCCATATAGAAGGAGGATTTATTGTACTCCAGCTTTGTCTGTTGCATTTCACCCTTCTTCTACATACCTCTGAGAAGAATTTGGCCCTGTCTTTATGCTCTCCCCTTAAGTCGTTGCAAAGAGCAATAAGATTTCCCTTGAGTTATCTCTTCTTGAGGCAGAACAAACCCAGCTCTCTCAGCCTCTCTATACACATCACCTATTCCAGCACCTTGTGGATTTTGGTAGCTCTTTGCTGGACTCACTCCAGTATGCTGAAGTCATTTTTATACAGGGAGCTCAATATTGGACAGAATACTCCTGATGTGATCTCACAAGTGTCCATTAGGGGAAGAATCAATTTCCTTGGCCTGTTGGCTGCATTCTTGCCCATAGAAGCCCAGGACATGGCTGGCCTTTGCTGAAAGAGCAAACATTGCTGACTTATGCTCAGCTTCTCTGCTGAGGTCTTCAGGTCTTCTTCTGTAAAGCTGTTTTTGAGCCATGAGCCATTTGGTTTCTAGCCTGTACTGCTGCATGAAAGTAATTTGTCTTACTGCTGGCTCGCAGGGGTGTGTAGACACATGGTTTGTTTGCATAAATACAAACACAAATTATGGCTGCCTTCAAAGTGCCCAGATTTTGTAATGAGTTCATTCTGTGATACCCTCAATCAAGACTGGCAGAGCAGACCTATCACTTGAGGATGATATATGTTCATGTTGCAACACTGGGCTCTTTTGTAACCACTGTTTCATGCTCCAAGGGCACAGATTTTACCATGTAGTTATTTTTCAAGAATGGCTATGACAACCAGTATTTTTCCTTCAGCCTTGTACTAATGAATTCTGGCTAATGTGTATTAGGATTAGTAAATGAGTCAAAATGAAGCAAGAAAATGCTATTAACAGCAATAGCAATAGCACCAGCGCTTGCCTTATGCAGTGGATTGTAAGCAATGATAGCTCGACTGCTTGTACCATCTAGTTATTCATACTTGGACTCGATTTCACAGCTGGAAGTCAGAAAGGTGCTGCAATATAGGGTGGGGAGATCTGTGTAGATTCCATTGTAAGTACCATTTTTCCTTAGATGACACTTGCAGGAATGGACTGCTTGGCCTTTTATTCAGCTGAAAGAAAAAGGCAGCTCTGCCAGGATTATATTCTGATTCTTAATTTGCCTGACAGATGGGTTAAAATAAGTTTAGATTACATTAGTGATGAATCTAAATACTAATCTTTGGGAAGTATTGGTTTCTTTTAGAACAACACATATGTGAAGGTCCTGTTGTAGAATTTTCCATCATTCTCCCCAAAAAAGATGGGAAGTGTCTTAAAGCATTGTCTTTAAATGTACTTTTCCTAGACTTCACTGAGTACTTTTGAATGGTCCCTATGGTGACAGTGCTGCAGTGAAACTGAAAACACAGTGCTGAAATTCTTAGGTATCAAGGACCCTGCAGTTAATTCTCTTGATAGCCATGTTACAGGAGGAGCTGCACTGGGAAGCCATTAGCATGCCATGATATATAGCTGCATAGAACATCATCAGCGCTTTGGGATTGCTTAGAAATTTCATGACAACCTTAAATCTTCTCTTGGCTGACTATTGAACAGTTCTTTTTTTTTTCTTCCCTTTTTTTCCAGCACGAGATGAGAACATGGCCACTTTTCGTGGTTCTGAATACCTTTGCTATGACCTGTCACAAAACCCCATCCAGAGCAGCAGTGATGAGATCACTCTCTCCTTCAAGACCTGGCAACGCAACGGGCTCATTCTGCACACTGGCAAGTCAGCTGACTATGTCAACCTGGCCCTAAAAGATGGTGCGGTCTCCTTGGTCATTAACCTGGGGTCTGGGGCCTTCGAAGCCATTGTGGAGCCAGTCAATGGCAAGTTCAATGACAACGCGTGGCACGACGTTAAGGTGACACGAAACCTGCGGCAGGTAATGCTGATGGGGAGGAAATGCTGGGGAAAATTTTGTTCTGTCTTATTGAGATGGGCAGATAGGAGAGAGTAATGGAGAAATGGGGATGCTCAGTGGAATTGCTAGAGTTGCTCCACCTTTTCTGGATCACAGTATCTTAAGGACAGTGAAAAACCATTAGTTGATGGGAATTTATCCCTGTTGCCATATCCTCATTTCCACTTTCTTTTCTTTTTTTTTTACCACTTTGATTTAATAATAAAAACTTGTGACATAACTTTACTTTCATCACCCTTTCCCTTTTCTCTTTTTCTGTTCTCCTTTTTTTATTTTATTATTTCCTTAAGTATGATTCAATCATATCAGTAATATTCTCATTACATTTAATTACTGTGGGAACAGTCTTTTTCCAACAGCTAATGCTCTACACCCCTATCCTTTGTTCAGTCTTGTTAATTGGTTTAACCATTGCCATGATGTCATAATTCTAATTCTGGAATTCTTTTGGTTTTCCTTTACTTTTTATTTTCTTTTGTGGGTGCATATAAGTGTGCAGGTATGCAGGCTGGTGGGTATGTGTGTAATTATTTTTAATTTATAGCTTTGGAATTAATTGGCTGGGCTCTTTCTGAATCTTCTTGATTCTCTGTTCTTCTTTTTTATTTTCTCCACTTCTTTCTGTAATGAGATTCTACTTTATTTCTTGTGTCTCTGCCTATGAGACTCTTCTGTTGGCTGTGAGGACTGGAAAAGAGGAAGGATCAAAAAAGCCAAGCAATCCCAGATCTATACAGCACCCTACAGTTCCACTTTGGAAAAGTTTTTCTGATTTTACCACTGTAATTTTGCGCATCTGCATGCCACTTTTCTAAGCAAACAATTCTATCAGGTGATGTATTGGGTAGCAAGCTAGTCTTCATATCCTGAAGCCTTCCTTGTGAAATATAAGTTCAGGAATAAGTAACATAAAATTAAATAACCTTGCTCTGAAAGCTGGTGAATATATCAATTTGCTGAAGCCCATCTGCTGCAAAGTAAATGAGGTTTACACTGTGAATAGGAGCTATTTGGTATTTTGCTGATTGGTGGAGGCAGCAGAAATATCTTGTAAACTAAGATTTTAAAATCAATTTTCAAAGGAAAACAGAGATCTTTTCTTTTGCTCATTGATGTGAATATTAACACAACCCTTAATAGTTTTATTTAAGTTCATACAATGTCATTTGCTGAGAAAACACCCTTTGTGGTAACATTTTACAGTAACTAAGATTAAGTTTATCAGCGAGTATAGGAATGTCTGTACCAAGGATCAGAAACTGTTTCTACTAGTAGATGTCAGTGGATAATTTATCTGTTATGGAGGATTCACATTTTATTTTTAAATATTTGTATTTGGGACTGAAGATGCTTGTCTTTCCCATGTGAATCCCTGCATTTCTACATGCCCAGGATGTCTGGGTCTTTGATGAAAAATCTGTCATCAAACCTCTATGAGACTGCAGGGTTCTTACTCATGGTCTGTTTTCAATAGTTTATATGCAGATGCAAATTTAATTTCTTATGCATTGGATGGGCCTTAATGATGCTATTTCATTCAAATGTTCCCATCAGTCTGGTAGATGGAGATGCACCAACTGGTTGACATTTCTCAGTCTGGAAGAGTCAGAATATATGGCTTTATTTTATGTGGATTTTTATGTTTAGATGATCTTAGAATCGCTGGTTTCTGGATATCTTGGTATACCTGTCTGGCACGTTAACTGTACTTTTACTTTTTGTCAGAAGATGGTTTTCAGAGTGAAAATTTGCCTGAAACAAAATGCATCCTTGTTTGTGCCTGTCTTGGTTTGAATCTTGAAAAAGCAGAAACTGAGGGAGGTCTACAGGCAGAACTGTGGATGAAAAGTTCTCACTATATTTTCTTGATCTTTCAGCTAGTGATTTTTAATTTATTTTCTGGGTCCATGGTGAAACGGAAAAATGTCTATGACTGTTTGTCTTTTATTAGTCTAGGACAGTGCTTTGGTGATTATTAGAAAGCAAGTGAGTCCCTTGCCAGACAAGGAGCACCACAGGTTTTGAATCCTAAAGGGACCACCTTGAATGGGGAAGACAAAGGATGTTTTAACAAGATTTTTGTGCTCTTTCCAAAGAAAGGCCAGTCTTAACATGAAATTAAAAATAAGTAGCAGAGATGACTCGGAGTCTGTTTCTATGGATAGGCATCACAGAATTCAATTCAACCTGTAAATATCAATAAGACTTTTTTTTTTTTTTTTGTTAAGTCATCTTTTCTCTGGATGCTTCCATTTTAACTTCTGGTCAAGTTTAGTGTCAAAATTAAGCTATTGACCCAGAACCTACAGCTGCCCATAAAATGAAACTGATGAGGCCATGAGGAGAAGCAATCCTGCTAGTCCTGAAAGTTGTCATCCCAAAATTATTGGTAAGTTTAACCACAGATTTCAATAAGGAGGAACCTTGAATACTGCAGCCTTCATGTCAGGTCCTCTGCATTCTTTACTTTTAATTAATATTAGTAGGGATGAAGAAGTCTGAAAGCCCTTCAATCTTCAAGATAAAGAGCTTGGAAAAGATTGAAAACTTGAATGACCAATAACTTATTAATACCTGCTATGGACAGTTTTCAGGATATAACTAAGAATGGTCACTCTATAAATGACCTTATAAATGCTTCATTTAAGGACAACAATAAAATTATAAAGATGCCATTCTAAATAAAGTCCAGGATGAAAGACTTTTGTTTTTCTCCATTCTGACAGCAGCTTCCAGCAGCTTATATCTCCTGGTTTTGTCTGTGTGTACATGAGGGTGAATTTCTCTGTCTTTAGAATACTTAACCATTTTTCAGGCAGGCTATGCACCTGTGAAGTCCTTTGATATCTTAATATAGAAGATGTAATAGAGGACAAAGATTATTTATTGTTTATGAAAGTATACATTTTGCCCTTTATTGCATCCAGTATAATTTTGTATATCCTAAAAATTTTTGCACTGAAGAAATTATCTGCCAGAAACTTTCCTGCCATAAATTCCACTGTAAGGTTGCAGCATAATATAGGTCAGTTGGAAGTCTTATTTCTGGCTGTGCTCATGTTTCCTCAAAAAACCCCCACCCCAAAACCAACCAAACAACCCTAATGAAAAACAGTGCACCTGAATATTGAAGCTCTATAAGGAAATCAGCAGCCATCTTGAAATTGTTTGAAAAGGTTGTACTGGAGATAGATATATTTCTCTTTAAAATGAATTTTAAATTTGTAAAAATTTATTAAAAATATAAAAATTTAGACATTTCAAGAATATAATAAAAGATAAAGCAATTCTAGGCAGATAGGCTACCAGCAGCTTCTTTCCTCTTTCTTTCCTTTACCAGCAGCAGTCTTTCCTCTGCTCTTTTTTGGGGTTGGGAGAAGGCGGCGGAGGATTTGCATAATTTTTTGGCTGTTCCTAGAATTACAGCATAACTGTAAATAGCTGGACTTTTGCCCAGTACTTTTTGGAATTGTTAACTGTTTTGTACCTAAGCTAGAAGAGTACTAAGAACTGCCTTTTTATTTTTTTTTTTAAGATCAAATAAATATCACTACAGTTAATCTCCTTAGACACAAACAAAGTGAACCCACAGATTCCCTTGAGTACTGATTGTTAATGTCAAAGCAAATCTTCTTGTTTATCTATCTTATTATTTCCATTCAAACTAAGCCCTCTTTCTGCTTGTGAGAAACCTTTGCTAGAAATAGGATCATGGCTGCATTTCACCAGGACTTTCAGAGCAAATTTAGGGCAGTGTGGTCTGGTGGGAGGAGCAGGAGAAGGAGAGGAGACTGAAGGTCAGGCTTCTCACATCTGTCTTCAGCTCTGCTACTAACACTGTCTCGTTTTTACCATGCTCTCTCCCCCTCCCATCCCATACTCCCAACTTGTTGTTTATAAAAACAGATTTACTAACACAGCATATCATGGAGAATGAGACTTCCTTGATTACTCAGGATTTTGTGCTGGGTGTACCCAAGTAAAGAATATTATTTTGTTTCCACAGACAAATAAAATAGACTTGTGACATTATGTTCAGTGCCACAAAGTTTTCACAAACTTATTTCCTTTGTCAATGCACAACCCTCTGAAATTTGCAAGCAGATAGTTTTTACATGAAGCAGCAAGCACAGATCTTGTTTGTGAAATTTAGGATCATTCTTTCCAACTTCAGTAACACTGAAACAAGGACTTGGAGTCTCCACAGGCTGCACTTCCCTATTAACACTGAAGCTACTAATAATGAAAAATCTACTGTAAAGATCTTGAGTTTCCCAGCTGCTGAAAAGCAAGCAAGAAACAATGTGTAGGCTCAAACAGTTGGCATCTGTGTGTGTTGGGAGGATTTACAAAGCATCTGCAAAGTTCTGCTAAGCCCGACTGACTGGTGAATTCTCCTAGATGCAGCCTAACAGGGGAGACACTAAATCTTGTTAATATTCTGTCTTCAACCTTCAGACAAGCAACACAATTCTTTCAACACGTTTCTTCCTACAGTAGAGGAGGTTCAACTCCTATACTCCTGGATGATGTAAGTGAACTACAGGCAAACAGCCAAGCACAGATATTTTTGTGTGCTTCTCCTGGAGGTCACAAACTCACCTGCTGTAAAGAAACCTGCAGATTGGGAAACTTGGGAAGAAGAGTCAGAGTCTTGGACATCTTTAGCCTCCAACCGAAGGATATATTGTCCTCTGCAACACTTGAGGGTAGTGGGCTTGGAACGGGAGCAGGAAT